AATATCAGACTCGGAAAAGAAGCTATGAACATCGTTAAAATCAACTTCAGTCAATTTTGATGGGTCTGCTTCCTTAATGTACTGATTAATTTTCTGCCTACAATAAAAAGGTTTATTCCTACCTCTGCAGCAATTCTCAACTTTGAATATTTACACTTTTTTATTTTCTTAGGTTGCAAACATTTTCCATTATTTTCAAATCCCCAATGTGTCCTCTCATCACTCACATAGAATATTGTTCAACATTTCTTGAAATGATAAAAATCAAACTGATCCTCTCTTTAGTCTTCTCTACTCTCTCCCCAGTCCCTCAAAAATAAACTTTTTGGCCAGACTCAAGCCTGTAATCCCAGGACTCCGGGAGACCAAGGTAGAAAAATCACTTGAGACCAGGAGCTCAAGACCGGCCTAGGAAACATAGTGAGACTCCATCTCTAAAAAAAAAAAAAATTAGCCAGAAGTGGTGGAGCACGTCTGCAGTCTTAGCCACTGGGGTGGCTGGGGTGGGAGGATTATTGAGGTTGAAGTGGGAGGATAGCTTTATTCTGGGAGCCAGTGGTGATGGCACTACTGCACTCCAGCCTGGACAAGAGAGACATTGTCTCAATCAATCAATCAATCAATCAATAAACTTTTTTCATGCAATCTCTTTTTTTCCTTACACTTGTACTCTTTTCCATTCCTAATGTTAACTATTTCAGATCCTTCTTACTTTTCATTGAACTACTAAAACAGCTACCAAATTAATTTCCATGCCTCTAGTTTCTACCACAACCAATCCATACTGAAATCTCTCCCATCTGAAGAACTCACTCTTTAGCAAGGCAAACGGTGCCAAAACCCAGCTAATTTACTTTTATACTTTTATCTCCTAATACTCTCCTGTACAAAAGCTTCCACTGTATTTAAAAAAAAAAAAGGAAAAAATTTAATCAAAGTTCCTAAAATGCCATATCAATTGTCCCACTGGTTCCTCAATTGTCAAAAGAAGGAAAGCACACTCCAAGAGGCATATAATAAACCAGCGCCTACGGGGACCGACAACTCCATGTGATAGAACCAAAGAGGCAAATGGATTGATACTATTTATTTGGACTAAATTACATACTGCTTTTAAATTCTAAAGATACCAAGAGAAAAATTTCACAACAATCTTTTTTAAGGGAGGTAAAATAAGTGAGGAAAGTTTGAGACAACATTCCAAGCAAAAAAAAAACAATAAAGCTTAAAATATAAGAGTATATGCTTTTGAGTCCAACAAACATGTCTTCAAATCTTAGCTCTGCCTCTTACAAGCACTGTGACCTCAGGTATGTTTCTTACGTAAGACTCAGTTCAGGGATGATACTATCTCCCACTAGTCCTGGAAGGATTTAAAAAGAAAATGAAGTACGCACATAAGTCTCCTAGTATAGTGCCCAGTACATGATGAGTGAAATAAAGAGCTTTTTAAGGTTATAATTACTGAGGTAGCCTCAGATCCAGAGAAAAGGCTAGTTAAGGAGCAGGTAGTTGGTAGAGAAAAGCAGTAAAAGGGAAAAGGGTTAAGAAATATACACAGACTACTTGTGTCATCTGTAGAATTCAATAAATTCACTAAAAAGTATATAGCAAAACCAATCTTCAAGGCCCTTGATTAGATTCCCATGTAAATCTTGATTTCTTTAGATGTAATGAAGTAGATACACAAAATGTACCTAAAGTTCCTTTCAGCTCTAACCTTCAAGAAGTCTGTAAGAACTGTGGTAAACCAGAATCCTAAAAGTTATGAATGTTCATCACCTTTACATGGTTAAGTGCTTCTGTATTTCACGAAACATATGAGGGCTTACTGATGTTTCATTGATCTCACAAATTTTGGTAACAGAACAACAATTAAGCCCAAATAAAAAAAAAATACAAGCTGGACCTGACAAGTACATTATCACTCTTATATGAACCCAAAGTTAGGAGCATTCAGAACGCCTAAAAATGCTCAGGGGCAATTCAGAAAGTAAAAGATAGAAATTTAAAAGAAAAAAAAAAAGATCTGACCCGGAATAGGAGTTTTGTAATTGGGTCAACAGACAAGACAGCACTGAGAAGACTGAAAAAATAAACAATATTTCAGAGTGGCAAAATGAGTGAACACGACTCTAATCTAACTACAAGCTACAAGCTACTTTAGAACAAACTCAAAACTTCTTATTCCCAAGTCATGTCTTCACTGTAGGGAGTTCTTTTACATACTTAAGATATTCACAAATCTATCTTTTCTCTAAAAAGCGAAAATCAAATTATAATTCTATACCCTCTTTCTATATGAACCATGGTTAAAGGTTGTACTAAATGTAATTAATATTTAACATGCCTATTTATCAGACTTTTTCAGCATAATTTCTAAGTCTTTCAGATTGGCTTTCACATCTAGAAAAGTGTTCTTCTCTTTCACACTTATTCAAAATCACTTCTGTAGGCTTATTTCTGAATGAACTGCTTTAAACACATACTTTTATCAGCTTTCATGTTTGTAAATTGTGAGGATTGCATGTGTGAAATTATGGTAAGTTTCTAGTATTCTAAATTTAACAGTGACAAGATTGGCCGGGCGTGGTGGCTCATGCCTGTAATCCCAGCACTTTGGAAGGCCGAGGCGGACAGATCACGAGGTCAAGAGATCGAGACCATCCTGGTCAACATGGGGAAACCCCGTCTCTACTAAAAATACAAAAATTGGCTGGGCGTGGTGGCATTCACCTGTAGTCCCAGCTACTTGGGAGGCTGAGGCAGGAGAATTGCTTGAACCTGGGAGGCAGAGGTTGCAGTGAGCCAAGGTCTCACCACCATACTCCAGCCTGGCGCCTGGCAACAAAGCAAGACTCTGTATCAAAAAAAGAAAAACAGTGACAAGATTGTCTTCTCCCATTTATTTGAAGACATAAGAAAGGACCCTGCTCATCAAGTATCCAGCAAAAAAGTACTTATTTCTATAAAAGCTTAAATGTGTATACTATAAGACCTGGCATAATATGTGAAGCTACTAGGGGAAAACATAGGGGAAACACTTCAGGATATTGTGTTAGGCAAAGATTTCATGAAGAAAAACCTTAAAATTACAGGCAACAGAAGCAAAAAATAGACAAATGATATTATAGCAAACTAAAAATTTTCGGCACAGCAAAGGAAACAACCAGCGGAGCAAAGAAACAACCAACAGAATGGAAAATCTGTATACGTAAACTAATCATCTGACAAATTATTAAGATCCAGAATATACAAGGAACTCAAACAACGGCAAAAACATAAATAACACAATTTTAAAATGGGCAAATGAGCTGAATAGACATCTCTCAAAAGAAGACATACAAATGGCCAATAGGTACATCAAATAATGCTCAACATCACTAAATACCAGGGAAATGCAAGTCAAAACCAAAGCGAGACATCATCTCACCCCAGTCAGAATAGCTTTTATGAGAGAGACAAAAACTAACAAATGCTGGCAAGGATGGCAAAGAAAGGGGAACTCATACACTGTTGGTGGAATGTAAATTAGTATAGCCATTATATAAAAAATACTATGAAGGTTCCTCAAAAAACTGAAAACAGAACTGTCATACAATCCAGCAATCCCACTACTGAATATATATCCAAAGGAAAAAAAATCAGTATGTCAAAGAGATACATGTTTATTGCAGCACTATTCATAACAGCCAAAATATGGAATCAACCTAAGTGTCCATAAACGAATGGATTTAAAAATATGGTATACATACAAAATGGAATACTATTCAGCCATAAAAAAAAAGAACAAAATCCTTTCATTCAAGGCAACATGGATGGTCTTGGAGAACATTATGTTAAGTAAAGTAAGTCAGGCACAGAAAGACAGATGGCTCATGCTCTCACTCATATTGGAAGCTTAAAAAACTGATCTCATAGAAGAAGAAAGTAGAATAATGGTTACTAGAGGCTGAGAAGGGTAGGCAAGGCTTTGGGGCTGACAGCCAGAGGTTGGTTAACAAACAGCTAAAAAGGAGAAATGGTGTTCTTGTGTTCCATAACACTTTAGGGTGATTATAATCAACAAGAATTTATCACATATTTTCAAATAGCTAGAAGAGCAGATTTTGAATGTTTCCAGGGCAAAGAAATGATAAATGTTTGAGGTGATGGATATACTGATTACCTTTATTTAATCATTACATATTGCATATATGTATTGCAATATCACAGTGTACCCATAAATATGTACAATTATGTGTCAATTTTTTAAAAAACAAAACAATTTGGCTAAAAATTCTTAAATTTGTATTGTTAACCATGTATTATATAAAGCAACATCAAAATGATAACTCTATAACCTAAAGTTTAAATAATTTTTCTATTTACATATATCATGTAAAACTACTTCATCATTTTGGTCATACTAAATATTTAAGGAACTACAGAAGACTATAACACAAAATGTAAATGAAATAAACTCATCCAGTAGTCTTGCATGCCATATTTTTTTTTAAAAAGTAAAGATATATGTAAGAACTATTTTAAAATAAGAAAATATTGATAATTCAACTTCTATACGTAAATTACTCAGATATTACTGTGACAAAGAGAAATGATCACTTATTTAAGGCAGTAACACTTATTTCTAAGTACACAAAAATAATAACAGTATATTCAACAAAGATTTCATACTGTCAATTTTATTATTTTTAATGTTTTCAAATATATATTCTGTAGATAAGTAAATATAAAATATGATGGAAAGTTTAAACATCTAGTACCTATGAGTTTTAATAACGGCTTCTTCATCACCCATCTACTTGGTAACTTTAAAAGATTCTTCCATATATTCTGCACACATGCATTTTTTTTTCTCACAGTTGATCAAGAGAAAATAATTTTAGCAACCCATGTTCACTAGTAGTTACACTAGCAACAGCAGTAGTAATAGTGCTATTACTATTACTTCATAATACTTCAACTTTAAATTTTTTTTTAAATTACATGATACCAACCTGGTCTCCAAAGTCCTCTGGGAATTTCCACAATACCACAGGATCTGTAAATAATTGACATGTATAATTAAACAGCAGCAAAAGAACACATTTAAAGAAACAGTCTTGGTTAAGCACTCTTAAAATTGTCAAAGCTACTTTAATTACAACATTTAAATTTTTCTTTAAACATTTATAGTTGATGACATTCACTTCTCTTCTTTTCTATAATTAAATATTTTGATTTTAAAAATTTAATGACCTTTGCAATAGAAATAAATGACATTAATAATTTGGTCAGGTTATTCAAAATCATTACTGTATTTCTTTTAGCAACTCACTTTTTATTTATATATTTTAGATTTTTAAGATTCTAAACTTTGAATTTTCTATTTTAACTATACTTTTAAAATATTGTTTTAATTTGAAAAGAAAAATATAAATGTAGCAAATATGTAATAAAATACATTATAGCCCTCAGGACTAGACTAAAATACACCTTAAATATCCATTTAAAATTCCAAGTAAGATTTACAAAACTGTAATAATATTTGCCTTATATCAGTTTTTAAATCTCATATTTGCAGTAATAGATAAGTTGGTAAGTAGATATAAAGCAGCTCATTTAAAATATAATTGATATTTGCAGGGCATTTCACAGAAATTTTTCTAACATGTTATAGCTAGTAATTCATATATATAAGTCAGTATTGTTTTCACACCAGTTTTTCATTTTCTTTGTTTTTCAAAGTATTTCTCATCTACTTAGCACAATAAAATGCTAAGATCTTAGTTTAGTAAGCACTAATAAATATTTAGTCATATACTTGTTTTTTAATTCTGCCAAAAACAATCTTCTGAATATTTCAAATGTGTTTTAAAGGGATAGTGCATAATGTATTATTTCTTCTGGGGAAAACACACACACACACACACACACACACACACACACACACACACTTGAAGGCCCAAGATAAGACTAATATGACTAACAAGTACCACCCATATGATAGGGTTTGAACTCCACTCTAAGTAAATGGACTCGTGAGTCAAAGATAACATTTCATATATGAATCAGTGAAAACTTACAGCTTGATTCCATTATTTGCACTATTCCATACTACTTTCTTAAAAACACAATCTAAATATATATTTCAAAACTTTTAAAACTCAACAAATGTCTAGCAACATTTTTAGCATGAGCTGGCTCCTCTTGTGTTTACACTTAAGTTCCACAAAATGTTTTTCAGGTATTTTAAATTTAAAAAAAAAAAAGTAAGCTTTCTACAATTAAACTTTTTATTTATTAAGGACTAAAAAGTTTTGATATAAATAGTAAAAGTCAATAATTTACAGTGTATTATATAAGAATAATACATTACCAATTTATGAAGATAATATTCAATGATTATATACTCACATAAAACAAAATGTATACATTTCTAAAATCAATGTGGAATGCATTACACATCACCTAAGGACACTCAAACATCAATGTCTTGTGGATAATTATGTTCCCAGTTAGAAAAAAATAGACATATCTTTATATGGCAGTTTTACCAAAATGGTAGGAGGCTAAGATTTGAATCTCATAAAAGTGCATGACAGAATTTTCATAAAATATTAAATGAAAGTTTTATCTTCAGGAAGTAATACAATTACTAATGGCTACATAAACAAATCCTCATGCAGAAATACAGAACAGTTCTTTCTCGTGAATAATGAAACTAAAGGGTTTCAATGTGAATATTTAAAATATCCTTTTTAAGTAACCTCAACTTTGTAATTACTGAGAAAATATTTGTGACAACTTTCTTACAACTATGTCTTAAGTAAGGATATTTATGTTATTGTATAGCTTAGAGTTTGCCCTTGCTGCTTGTAACATTTACCTAAACATATTTTGCTGCCTGACTTTTCCTCAATACCATTTTTTTTTTCTGTATACTCTGTTTTTTCAGAGGGAGAACAAATAAGTACACAAAAACTGCATCTATTGGTTCAATCACAAAGTAGAAAATATCCCAGTTCTTTTCATTAAATGAATTTCACCATTCAGGGCTCAAAAAATTATTATAATCATGTGCATCCATATTTTGAAATGGATTAACTTAGTTACTGCCTATGTGATTAGATTTAGACCACATCTGACACATCTTTGTAGCAACTTTTCAGAAGTACTGCAAAGGAAGAAACAAAAGGGCTCTGAAAAAAATAATCCGATTCAACAACTTTATGCACAAAGACTGAATTTTCTGTTCCCTGAGGATTACTTTCCAGATACTCGATCTGATCTGGCAATGTTAGGTCAACTTTATGCTGATTTTATGGGTGAAAGGATGAGAACTGCTGGTGGGAATCATCGTTGCCAGTTATGACTGATATACACTGTGTTTCTCTTTTTTCCAATGTCTACTAGTAAATCAAAGGAGACTCCGTATCTTAAAAATAACAAAAACTTACTGCCAACAATCTAGACACCAAATAAATATGAAAGGAAGAATATTTGATTTTGACATAGATAAAATCTTTTAGTTTAATAAGAGATAATGTTACAGCGTAGTAAGAAAAAATACAAATTTTTATTAAATCAGTAACTTTAGAAGGTGAATATTTACAGTATGATTGCACATCATCAATATAAGGATTCCAAATTCAGTATTAAGGCTTTTTTTAAATGTAAAGTAAGACAAAGTCAGTAATATTTTCTTTCCCAATAAAATATTTCACATTTCTTGGCCCTTAACTGAAAAATTAAAATAACTTAGAATTCCAGTGTGATTTTACTATACTACCAAAAAAGCAGGAAAAAAATTCCAGTTTCCACAAAAGGATAGTATTTCCTTAATTCTTTGGAATTCAAAGATGACCAAATATACAGTATCTTCAAATTTATGCATTTGTAAAATCGCAGTTCAGGGACTACATACTTTTGGAAAAGTAGAATGTATAATACTAGTATTTTGCTTGATTATGGGTTTCAGTGCCTGATATACCCACACTGCAGAAGAATATATATGAAAAAATTGAGGTCGAAACAATGAAGAGTGTGATTTACTCATGTGTCTAGTTAATATCAGAGGTTACAGCTTCCTTAGTTGAAACGTGAGGACCACATATTTTAAATAATTTCCAATAATTCACACATTTTTGTTGCCCTTTTAACTTAAGTTCAATTTATTTCATTCAAAAACCTATGCAGTGCTAAAGCAAGAGGAAAAGTCCCTGCCTTACAATACCCTACAACACTCACGGAGAGAAACATCAAACAGCGATTTTGTTATTGTGCAAAATATTCTTTTAAGTGAGGTATCCTGTAGGAACATTTGAACTGGAAAATTCATTGGCTTAAAAATGTTAAAAAAAAAAAAAAAAGTTCCTAATGAACAATCATGTTTTCTGAATATAAATAAGCAAAAATCATTAAAGAAAATGTGTAATTTTTTTGGTAATGTATGATTTTTATTCTTTCACCTGTGGACATATAATGGTGAACTAAACAAAACAGGGTCTACCACTTATAGAAAAGAGGAGCATCTAAACATAAAACTTAATGCATTTTTATGATACTAAAAGGAAGGGTGCTGCAGGAGCACACAATAAGGAAATCTAATTTAGAGAGTCACTAAAGGACTTCAAAAGGAAAGGACATAAATTGACACAACTTAGACAAGCTAAGGATATTCTGGGCTATAAAGTGGGCAGGGAGAACTTTCTAGAGTGAAGAACCGGTATGCATGACATCTTGAAGGTTAAAAGAAAGCAGAATACCTTTTAGGAACTGAAAAAACATCTAACATATCTAGAATGTGAGAGAATCTCTAGGGATAAAGCTGGATTAGCAAGGGAATCCACTGAAGCAGACAGTGGTATAAACCAAGTGAGAAAGAACCACCAGAAAGGAAGAATGCAGCTAGCGTGTGTGATGCTATGAAAGTCAAGGGAAGAGGGTGTGTCTAAAAGAAATCCTCGCCGGGCGCGGTGGCTCAAGCCTGTAATCCCAGCACTTTGGGACGCCGAGGTGGGTGGATCAGGAGGTCAAGAGATCGAGACCATCCTGGTCAACATGGTGAAACCCCGTCTCTACTAAAAATACAAAAAATTAGCTGGGCATGGTGGTGCATGCCTGTAATCCCAGCTACTCAGGAGGCTGAGGCAGGAGAATTGCCTGAACCCAGGAGGCGGAGGTTGCGGTGAGCCGAGATCGCGCCATTGCACTCCAACCTGGGCAACATGAGTGAAACGCCGTCTCAAAAAATAAATAAATAAATAAATAAAAATTAAAAAAATAAATAAAAGAAATCCTCAAACAAATGCTGCAACACACTGAGAGATGATGACTGAAGAATGGCAACTATGTTTAAAGACATAACACCACCGGAAGATGAGTCTCAGTGAAAGGGTAGGAAGGAGGTGGCCAATTTAAGATTATGGAATGAGTTAGGATGAGGAAAGACAGGCAGTATATACAGAGGCAATTACTTAAGAAAGGATACACAAAGCAGAGGAAAGCAGACAGAAAGATTAAACTGGAGAGATTAGTTTTTTTCTTTTGACTGGTATAGACTTGAACATGTTTAAAAGGCTATGGGAATTAATGAGCTAGCAGAGAGCCAGCAAACAAGGAATGCAAGATACCTGAGAAGGCAGAAGTGTTGTAATTCAGATCAAGACAGTAAGAGGAGCCTAAAACAGAAGCTGAAGTATGTTTTCTGCTGTTACAGAAAAAGAGAAGAGGAGAAAAAGACATAAAGCCGAGTAAATTTGTAGTGCAAAGATACGAGTTTTGTGAAAAAACTGCAAAGATTTTTCTATGTAATAAGAAGCTCTCTAAAGCAAGGCTTTCTGCTAAAACACACACAAAAAAAGCTGTTGAAGCTTTAAGGAGGAGGTATGAAACAACTGTTTCAGGCAAAGTTGAATTCTCAATATGGGCAGATATACAACATGGCATTTAATGGCAGCAAAATGGGATTTTGCCCAATTGGTGGATTCCGTCAGGGTGAGGTTTCTCCCAGTCATGTGGATGGAAAGATAATCTAAAAGAGCGACTACAGATCTGAAT